ATTTTTGAAGTCACAGTTTATTGCTAAAGAATCAGTTAGCTCACTCGGACCAGTTGAAAGTTCCAAAATAACATCCACTCCAGGGATACAAATTCAGGATACGCAGAAGACTACTGTTTTATTATAGGCGGTTGTCATATATTGTATTATCCGAGTTGCACAGGGTATAAACTGAAACATTGAGATCCAAAGTGCTGACGCAGAGTGAGCGATCTGATTCTTTAGCTGTAAACTGTGTCACAGGGTTCAAAATGGTCGCGCTTTATGTTGGGCGTGTCGGACCTCTCTCTTCCCAGACAGCACAAAGACATCTTTAAGACGTCCATAAGACGTCTGTCAGAGACATGACAGACGTCTAAAAGACGTCTTATGACGCCGGCCAGACGTCTTAAAGACATCTATAAGACGTCTGATGTTACAAAAGGTAACGTTCTTAAGACATCTTAAATATGTCTGTTTTTCGACATTGGTAAGACGTACTCTCGGATATAGTTTTAAAAGCTTCTGTAAATTCCTTCTATACAAAATAAAACACATATTTTCTATAAACATTATTATTAACAAAACACTGAAACATTTCGTTCAAAAAAGTAATATTACAAATTATTTTTTTGATTCTTCCTCCGTTAGTGGTCAGATGCTCTTCTGAGCCAGCCTGGGTTGCAATAATTTTAACTACGCTGTGTAAAATATTATGCAATTATAGCTCACTCTGTCAAAATTTTCAGTAAATAGTGTGGGTTAAGGGTGGTCAAAGAATGGCAATCTTCCTGTACTTTCAACTCTAATTCAGATATATTTACATCCGATGAAGCTTCTAAGTCAGCTCTAGACGCCTAGACGTACTCAAAACACTAATAAGGGTTCTTCTATTTGGTTTTTCAGAATATGTAGTAAACTTTTGTGCTTATAAATTCACAGTAATCCACGGCACAAGACACAAATAAAAAAATCAACGAATAACCAACAAAAACTAACCTCTCCCTCCGCTTTCATCTTTAATGTCAACGAAAGGACAACGCAGAACGCCACGAACCACGAAACCCCAATAATACTCACATTCAAATACACGTCCTTGTTTAAATTCTACTGTTGAAAAAAGACAAAGCATAATAAAAACATTCGCTTCGATCGTTGGACCATGTTCCGGTCAAGGTGAAAGAGCGCGTAATTCAATTTGTCTTATGTTTTAATTGTTAATTTTATTTAGAGTTATATTTTTTATTATTATTATGTTATCAAATATTTACTTACTGTAATGAACAAATACTCGTGAATAAATAAAAAAATAAGTAAATTAATAAAAAAAATTAAAAATAAATTTATATTTTGTGAAATTAGAAACGACAAGTAAGCCAGTACTTCTTTTAATGTTACCATTATTTTTTATATTTTTTAAATAGATAGGCATTCAAAAGACGTCTTTAAGACGTCTATTTATGTGTCCTAAAAGACGTCTTTATGAAGACGTCTTTACAACGTCTTTTTTAGGTCTTTAGGCGTTCAGTCATAACTACGACATAAAACAGACGTCTTTAAGATGTTGTGTGCTGTCTGGGTTGCCTCGTATAGTAATCAAAGTATGTGCTTAACGTCCATGACCGGGAGATATAAACCTCATTGGTCCTGTCTCTCCTGACTAGAAGGTTAAGTTGTTAAAAGCCTGGTCAAAGAGATCGCACTTAAATGTCAATCGATCTGAAAGTCTGTGTCCTTGAAAATTGAAAATATTTTACGTGGGTAAAATGTATCTAATCTAATATAACCTAGCTTTCTAATAATTTTTCTTTTTGGTTTTTGAACATTTATTTGTAATCGAATTTTGTTATAAATATCTGTGCAGTGAAAAACTGCAAAAATACTAATCAATTTTCCAGATGTCATTTTTCTCATGTGACAGCAACTAATGTTCTGATTGGTGACACCAGACATGTCAAAAATACTTCAGACCAATAGGGAGGAGGCATCGAGGTCAACATTATTTTAAAAACCAAAAAAACAAATTTTGTAGTAATCACACTAATTTTGTCTTCAAGTGGTTTAAAAGCTGAATATTTTTTACTTTTAGATGTAATTTTTCTCATGTGTCAGCAACTAACGTGCTGATTGGTGACCCCAGACTTGTCAAAAATACCCCAGACCAATAGGGAAGAAGTACCGAGGTCATTGAAATTTGAGCCAGAATTTAACATGGGAAGTAGAGGGAGTGACAGACCTGTGGTCTGGTACACCACACATACAACTTTATAGCCACCGTGAATACTAGAATAGCTACTTTTGTCAAAGTTGTTACACGGTCGCTATAAAAATAATACAACTTGTAAGTGTGGTGTAGATCAGCTTTTAACAACTAAACCTTCGAGTCGGAAGTGCCGGGGCGTCAAGTGAAGTGTAATTTTATCATTTGGAAATGGTTACATTTTGTTGGTGGACTGGTTTGAAATTAAAAAAAAAACATAATACAACAAAATGTATTTTGCAATTTTATTTCAAGCAGATCTACAGGCCTTCTGACGATCTGAGAGGTACCTAGTCATCCCTATAGACATCTCACACATACCTCCTATTAATTTCTTGATATATTTATTATCCAAAGGTCCACATTTCTGTCTCAGCAACTAGAATATTTGATTGCTTCTAAGTCACTCGAAATCCACTTTTATAACTACTTTTGTTACAGATTTTACTTTAGAGAATTCTGATTTTTTCAAAGTGATAACATAACGACTGACCTTGGTCTAAGCCACTTGTTAGCTAGCAACTGCATGATACAATATAGACTACATAATATCCGCTGTTGCCATGTGTATTTCATTATTCTCGTTTTGTTTACAAAATTATTTACATATCTTAAAAAAGCTAAAATAATTCAATCTATTTTATTGCAAATGACCCAGAAAATTTTAAACCATTAGTTATATCAAATTTAACTAAATTAATTGTAATTTTGCTAAATTATATGTAATAATTTTCAATAAATTCCAAAACCTAGTTAATGTTAAGTTGGATATCAAGATCAAGTATATTTTTTATTATCGGTGTACAATGGCTTACACATACGAGTATTAAATTCATTGTTAAAATTGTTTTGTAGGGCCGTCAAATCCTTCTATTTTTCCCTTCCCTTACCTCACACTACCTACATGTTTCTTCACTCCTGATCTACAACTGGACCGTATCGACTGTGGTATATCGATGTTGGCGTCACCACAGTCCTGGATTTGTCAATAGACCGTATAGGCCGCTGCCTAGGGGCGACAGCGTCCTAGGGGCGGCAGATTTCAGAGGACGCTCACTCGATTTCAGAGGATAAAAGTCAAACAAGTTCACTGATTTTCTCATGGTTTTTCACTGAAAATGTTTCTGAAACATGGTATACATGTTACACAAAAGGTTAATGAAGAATTTTTGATTTGTAAGAAGATCAATATATTCAAGATGGGATGTTTCATCCTATGTCCAGCCAGAGACAACAACCTTATATTCTAAATAATTATAGATTTGAGTTATCGGTTTTTGACATTTCCTTTTATTTATTATTTATGTGTTGTGCTGTTATATTGGAAGCAGAATAGGCAGAATATGTCTTTAGAAATTGAGGAGAGTAGGTATTACAATGATACAATGTTTGTTTAGGTTAGTTTTATTAACTCTATCTCTTCCCTGAGACATGTGACGCCATTTCGTTTATTAAATTTATAGGCAGTTTTAGTCTTATTTCTATTTAAATATAACCTACATTTTCTGTCCCTTCACCAGTTTTATTTATTAGTTCTACAGCTGATTGAAAATTGGAGTTTCATGTTTTGTTTAGACATGAGTATTGTTTGTTTTATTATAGTTAATTTAAAACTATATATTAATAAACCTTTTTATTTACCTAGGTATAATTTGTATTTATTAGTGCATTTAAAGGAATTTGTGGAAATGAAGCGATTCGCCTTTATATTTTATGAAATAATTATTAAAAAATATTTGTTTGTTAAAGAACCATTGTTTGAGTTTTGTGTATTTTAAATAAACATGTATATATTTCTAAATGTCTTTTTTTAGTCAGAAATATTACTGTCGAATATATTTACAGGACATTCTTACGTTTCAAGCACATTTCAGAAATGTTACTGGGATGTTTCGTAATATTTATACATCATTACAAATATTTGAATGTAACATTTTTGAAATATTTTCGAAATGTTTTTTGCTGTATGGGTAAATACAGCACAAACAAAAAAAAACTTAGATCCTTTTTAGTGAATCTCTAAAAAAAGGTCCCCAACTTGTATTTTACATAAACCAGAGCTCCTCCCTTTTGTGGCGAACTTTTGTGCCGCTGCCGGGGGCCCCCACTTGTGCCCGGGCCCCGGAAATTTGTCCCGGCATGAACATGTTAGATTATTTGCCATTGATCGTGAGACAGAACATGTGGTTTATACCTGTGTTTATACCTGTAGGTTATACCTAAGGTATTCTATTTAAAAGAACATGAAGGGGAACATGAACCTAGAAAGAGTGAAAATAATTTACATATTACATATGAAATTACAAAATACGTCCACCCGAATATTATGATTTTTTTGAATTTAACATTTCACATCTAGGTACCTATACCTACTATTCTACCTCATTTCAAAATTTACCTACTTCATTTTGCTAACTAGTTTTTATTAAACTTTACTGTAAAATTACCTGAATAAATTTCATAGGTATTTTCAGCAATACTTTTAATACTGTTTACATTAATTTTATTGTACAAATTTTGTTATTATACTTTACCATGAATGTATCAATTTTTTCTTTTTTCTTTTAATTAAAAGAATCAAATTTTAAATTAATTTAAGAACACTTACGACATCTATCAACTGAATAGTCAACAAGAACTCACCATAAGAATCTAACATTACAGTTTGCTGCCTATTTGTTTCCGTCGTTTGAGTTATAGTGAACTAGATGGTGCTGATGATTAAAATTTCAAATTTATAAAAACTCATATCTATATATCTTCAAAGATAAGCAGATTAATACCTATATCAAAATATGAATTATCATTCCAATTAGGTAGTCCTTGCTTTGGGAATCACAAAATTAACTAAATTAAATAATTATCAATAAAACAAATAATACAAATGTGATAAGTGGTTTTTAAAAAAGCGTATTTATGTTGTGTCTCTATTTGGACACAACAAAAAATATCGCTAAAAAAAGTGTGTTTCCAAGTTTGTGTGTTTTTTATAATATTGACAAAGTAAGATATGTTCCAAGTATTTGATATTTAACGCAGATATAAGTGCTCTGATAATGTTTTATTTAAACAAATTGATAAATATAAACTGCATGGTTTCACAAAAATTGCCGTACCTAAATTATCTAGCATTTTCTTTATGTAAAACTGGTAGTCGGTTAAAATTTTGATATGTTGTAGTAATTCGACCTTCTGAACAAAGGCTTCCACAGGTACAACTCCATCATAAAATAAATAGTTTTTGATATATAGGGTGTTTCAAATACCTAGGTAGTAAATATTTTTTAAAAGGCTGCACTAATATTTCATTATAACCTATTAATTATTACTATTATTTAGCTACAAGGTGAATCACTGAAAATAATGCTCTATAATAATTTCGGTTTAATTAATTATTGAAATTGTAGGCCATTATATAGACATGGAGAGCCAAATATACTCTTTGATCTATTTTTTTTCTATTTAGAGGCTTCCAATGGCTGTCCACATACAAGTTTGTAACAAAAATATATGCAGTAAATTTTACCACAGTTTCTGGGGTCGAACATAAGTCGATTTAAGCTAGCTTGCTTATGTAAAAAACGGATAGGTAGTAAAATTTATTACAGGGTGTTAAAAAGAAGAAATTATAGAAGTGATTTTTAACAGACTTCTAAAAAGGAGGAAGGTTCTCAATACGTCGTAATATTTTTGTTGATCTATGTTCAGCGATAATTCTTTAACACAGTATCCGATTTCAATGATTTTTTTAGTTTTTTTTTTTTAGAAAGGGGATACTCAGGGGTGGTCCCATATAAATATGGTCAAAATCTAATAATTGGATCCATTAGAAAATCCTCAAATTCTTCATTTTTTTGTGAATGTTTAGCGGTAATTCTTCACCACCTTACCCGATTTCTATGAGTCTTTTTTTGTTAGTAAGGGGGTAGCTCAGGGGTGGTCCCCTATAAATTTGGCAAAGATGTGGTGATGGCAACTGCACGATTTTGAAGTCGGTTTTTTAAAATTGCTTGACATATTTTTATGAAAATGTACATTGTATCTTAATACCTATATAGTTGCCCTAGCGAAGCATGCATCGAGTCCTGGAGATATTTAGGGCCCCGTAGGGGCACTTCTGATAATTACCTACCTTTATAATTTACTTTACCTACATTCAAATTCATCATAATTTTAAAAATTCATGTTAAAACAAATGTAATTAGAAAAGTTGGATGAGGGAGATGATTCCCAAATTTTATGGGCTATAGGTATCTAGTAAATATTTCGTTATCTAATATCTTCTCCTCAGAGATTGAAGGTCTGTTAATTATTCTTTTAAGACAAAAAACATTGTTTTCTGGACAGTGGCTGCTCGTGGTAATTTAAAATGGGTGTTCACTTTTTCCAATAATTTTATCATTTGTATAAGAGCCAATATCGCTGTTTTTATTTTATTATTTGAGTTTGTATTAAGTGTAGTTATTATTATCAACATCATACTGTTTTCAAGCACTACAACTATTAAAAAATAAATATTTTAGTTAGTGTAATATTTGTTTTGTTTTTAATACTTTGAAAACGATCTATAAACATTATTAGTAGGTAAACTGACTTTTCTTCATAATTTGAGATTATTTTAAATGTCAGGTTATGTATAAAGTAAAATAAACAGTTTAAAGAGGTCAACAATAATATTCAACTTCTTTTATCAAAGGATACTAAAAGTTTTAAATAGCTGCACATAATTGAACATTTGCAGAAATCTGTGAACTAAAATAGTGAGATACACATCGTAAAATGTTATCACTCTTAATTCTCCATTCTCTTCTGTCATACCCTCATTGCAAACTTTTGCATGTCCATGTTTACAAAAAATAATGTGTTTTAATAAATAACAGAATAATAGTAATTTTGTCTAAATACGTAAATCGGCTTCATCTGTATTTTCAAATTATTTTTTGATTGTAAGTGCCTAATCAAAATCAAAATTTATGTTTTATACTTATTGCTGTTTTCGAGACATACTTTATTACCAACTGTAAACTAATTTACCAACAGACTTATTTTATTTATTACCTGCAGTGATTCAAATTACCAATACATCTAATATTTTTGAAAATACTAAATTATACAAACAAGGCAATAAAAAAATGTCATTAACATAAGATTTCTGGTTGCAACAAACAATCTAGGCTAGAGGGTAACACGATTGATAATTACAGGCAAACATAACTTTATATAAACTAATTAAATGTACATATCATTTCTTAAGTAAAATTTCTCATTGAGTATATTAAATTAACTGGTTGGTCCTTTTTTCCGATTCAGACTTTTAAAGTAAAAAACTATTTGTTTCTTTATCAAACGTTTATTGTACATTTCTATTTCCATAATAATCAAATTTTTCCTTTTAGCGGGTTTTGTGGGTAAACAAAAAAGTTATACATTTTTTGCTTCATAGTATTTACAATTGGGTACAAAATAGACCATTTTGAAGTAGTCTTAGAATGGTCCTAGACACTGAAACAAAATATAAAACAAATTAGATTCGTAAAACTTTATTATAGTTAAATAAAACAACTTTAAAAATACTTTTATTGGCCTTGCCTTAAAGAACAATCGTTGAATTGACACACATACTTTCAATTTATTAATGTCACAGTTCCTAATTAAACACATTTTTTTAAATGAGCACAAATAAAATAATCTTAGTTTTATTAAAAGCGTTTCATAGTAGAGGAATGACGGAAGACGGAATGACAGTTTGTTTGATATGTTACAGTGTTGCCAGAATATGTTTTTGTTATGTACCAGATTTGTCTAAAAAATGTACCAGATCCCATCTAATTCATTGAAGGGGAAAAAGGGGTCTTTATTGATAACGAACCCAAACCAGGAACACAATATATACATATTTTATACGTAAACACTGATGCACGCAGAATGTACTACATCTAGTACAATTGTGAGTTGTACTAGACTGGCAACACTGGTTTGGCAACCTTGTTTGTGAGGGCGTGCCAATTAATGTGTTCTTTTGCAGTTTGAAGGATCTGTTGGTGTGTTGTCTTCTCATTTTAGCTATATACATTCGCCAAATCGTCTCACTCGTGTTAGGCTCACTCATCATAATGCGCCACAGACACAGTATTTTTAGGTATACTGTGCCACAGAGACACGATCAGCCAGAGGACAATGATGTTCCAAAAAATATAGAATAACACGTATGAAAATAAAAATATTAAAATTAAATTTATATTTCTTTGTTATTTATGTAATTTTAAAATAATGTGTTTTTATGAAATTTAACTGGGTGTTCACTGCACAAACGAACCAATGGAGAAACCGCCCTTGTTTCTGGAAGATCGAAGATTATTATCGTAAATTTTGCTAAATACCTCTGCTGGTAAATGTGTGATAGCTAAATGGAATGTACTTTTTTCAGAATTAATTCTATGGATGACAAATTTGTTTTCGATATATTTAAACCATAGATTTGGATGATTTAAATTAAAGTAGAAAAAGTGCATATTTTAAAAATCGTTTTGCCCCTAAAATAATGAATATGAATGAATTATGTATGTATTATATAATCTTTATATATTTATACGAGAGTTTATGTAAAAGACCCTTTATTATAAGAAATACACGTATACAGGTTGAGCCAAAAAGTTGGTTCAGTGAATGTCGCTATTTTACAATATGCCCTGTATATCGAAGTGTAATCAAAACAAGAACAGTATATATTTAGAAAAATATATACTTCTGACATCATATACAGGGAGAGTAAAAAGTTTTATAATGTTGAAATATACAAAAATTACCCTTTTTGACAAATTATAGCATATCAAAAATGTTTTTGTTTGTTGACTTTTTTTTAACCTAGAAGAGTTCCGCACCTCTTTGACCCCCATATACTTTTTTAGACAATGAAATTTAGTTAAAAACAGGACGCCATTGAAATCCTACATCTGTTTTGATTTTTTTTTGTCTCTTGTTTGTGGAAGTCTTAATTACTCAGTTATACAGGGTGTTCCCCATGAGTACCAACACAAATAGGCATGTTGGGCACCCCAAAATATTATAATTTAACGCAATTTACCTCTTATACCAAGTTGTAACCCCTAAGGAGTTACGGAAGCTTAAAGTGGGGCCTTACATTTAGAAAAAATTTAAATTTAAATTTAAACTAATAATAAACTAATAATAATAATATCATCTACATATTAACAAAAATTAAATAAACTTGGACCCACTTTAAGTTTCCGTAACTCCTAAGAGGTACAACTTGGTATATAGAGGTAAATTGCGTTAAATCATCACATTTTGATGTGTCCAATACGCACCTGTTCTGTGTATCGCTACTTATGTGAAACACCCTGTACATGCCCCCATAAGGAAAAATACAATGACATTTTTCTATTGGTCTTAAACCACTGAATATATGTTTAAGATTTTTTTTACTATTTTTCTGTATACCAGCAACCGATGTACATTTTCCTAATAATATGTTAAGCCGTTTTAGAGAAAAAGTAAAAAAGCACTTCTAAAATTTCCCACTTTAACACCCTCTAACTTTTTTACCTTCCATTTTTTATACAAGCAAGTTCTAAAATCGACTTCAGCAACTGTGTTTAAATTTATTGTACATCTTTTTGTTATAAATAACAATTCAATATCGAGCCATTCATTTTATATACCTTAGGTAACTAGTAACTACCCATACCGAGGTAATTACAAATCTTCTATTCTTAAACATCTCTATAAATATTACAATAAACTTTGCTCTTTAGAACGTTCCTCCATTATCCCGCAATAACCCAAGATCCTAGTATATTTTTAAATATGTACTTTTTAAATTTTCAGAAGACTTCCAATGGTTTTACCGGCAGCCATGATATTGTCCGGCTTGCCCCAGGAACAATTTACGGAGGACTTGGGATTCATTTTCAGTCAAGGTAATTCACTGTTAAAAAGCCCAGAGATATCGCCACCTACATCACCGAGATCAAGTTCACCAGCCGAAAGCGGGATATCTTCTTCATCTTCAATATCTTCTATATCCTCTATATCATCTGCATCTTGTGCATCTTATGTATCGACCGTTAGTGAAAGGAGTTTGAGTTTGGATTATTATTTGGAAGTTATTGACCAATTGGAACAACGGTTTCTGGTTAGTGTACGTATACTTTTTTGTTTACCACACCAATATACAGGGTGTAACTAAATAAGTGTAAAACATTTAAGGGGGTGATTCCTCATCGAAAAAAAAAGATAGGATCTTTCATATAAAGAAACTTCATTGGAGCATCCTTTGTTAAGATACAGCCCCTTAAAGGGGGTACATAAAATTTGTTTAACAATTTTTTTCACAAGCACTAAACAAGTTACAATATTGAAATTAACCTGACATTTTCTACTACCAAAAAGACACTTAGCCAGTAATTTATTTGGTTTACCCCATGGTTGTAAGGGGTGGAAAACGCAACCCCTAAAATTTCGTTCCAACGTAACTTTTTGTCTTATTATTTGTTTACAATTTAAAAATTTATTTCCGATAGCCTGTTTCATTCTAAACAAAAGAATGTCTCTGAATTTTTTGCCCAAAATAAACAAGTTCGCAGCAAAAAATTATTTTACGAACAAGATAGATATCGCCATAAAACGAAAATACGAAACTAATTTATCTAGTAGGCCGCTATTAGCTATACTGACAATTACATTGAAATCAAGCTGTCAGTTTGTAAATTTTTGAAATTGAAGTAATACTAATTGTGTATTGTTCTTCTGTTCGTAATTTTTGTTACTTTAATAATTCACTTGTTATTAAAATGGCATACACAAATGAGGAAATGGCTGATATGCATTACGTTTACGGTCTGTCGCAGGGGAATGGGTTAGAAGCTTCTAGAAGATATGCTGAAATGTATCCTCAATGGCAGCATCCTTCACATTGAATATTTTCCCGACTTCATCAACGATTACGAGAATATGGTTCATTCAACAAAAGAACACACGATTGTGGTCGCCATCGAGAAGTAAGAACACCACAGCTTGAGGAAGCACTACTTAATTTTATTGAAAAACAACCTACTACCAGTACTAGAAAGATTGCTTTCTAGCTAAATGTTGATCATATGACGGTATTTCGAATTTTAAAGGAACATATCTTATACCCTTACCACTGTTACCGCGAGACTTTCCAAACCGTCTTGAATTTTGTAATTGGATGCTGGAAATGATTAGAAGAAATCGTGACTTTCTGAAGACGATCGAATTCACAGACGAATGTAGTTTTTCTCGGGACAAGATTATTAATTTTCATAATTACCACATATGGGCTGATGAAAACCCTCACGCTATTGTCGAGACTCACCATCAAGAACACTTTTCTCTTAACGTGTGTGCCGGAGTTATTGGTGATTATTTAAATGGGCCTCATTTTCTACCTCCTCGATTAAATGGTGAGGCATACGTTCAATTTTTAAGAGAAGTGCATCCCGTACTGCTGGAGGAAGTTCCTTTGGGCGTCAGAAGGGAGAAGGGATATGTTTTTATGCATGATGTGGCTCCCGCCCATTTTAGTCAAGTAGCACGTCAGCATTTAACTGAAACATATGCAAATCAGTGGATAGATCGAGGAGGACCACAGAATTGGCCCACTCGATCCCCGGATCTTAATCCTCTCGATTTCTCTACTTGGGGCCATTTGCAGCATTTGGTTTATCGTACTCCTGTTCGCAATGTAGAGGACTTAAGAAACCGCATCATCGATGCGTGCAGGGTAATTAGAGAGACTCCAGGATTATTTGAGCAAATACGTGGCTCAATGCGCCGACATCTAGACGCATGCGTAATGTCTGAAGGTAGACATATTGAACATTTACTATGATTTATACGTGTTGTGTTTTGTTATTAATAAATTAGTTTTGATTATACCCCTTTTTAATCATTTAATGCAGGTAGTAACTACAAAATAACAATAAATCCAGTTCGCATTTATGACGATGTATCTCTGTAGTTGTTCGTAAAATAATTTTTTGATGCGAACTGGTTTATTTTGGCAAAAAATTCAAGAGACATTTTTTGTTTAGAATGAAACAGGCTATCGGAAATAAAATTTTAAATCGTAAACAAATAATAAGACAAAAAGTTACGTTGGAACGAAATTTTAGGGGTTGCGTTTTCCACCCCTTACAACCATGGGGTAAACCAAATAAATTACTGGTTAAGTGTCTTTTTGGTAGTAGAAAATGACAAGTTAATTTCAGTATTGTAACTTGTTTAGTGCTTGTGAAAAAAATTGTTAAACAAATTTTATGTACCCCCTTTAAGGGGTTGTATCTTAACAAGGGATGCTCCAATGAAGTTTCTTTATATGAAAGATCCTATCTTTTTTTCGATGAGGAATCACCCCCTTAAATGTTTTACACTTATTTAGTTACACCCTTTATACACTAATTTGACCATGAACGTGTAGTAAATTTAGGCAGTTACCTACGTATACATACTAAAAAAAGTTCTACCATCACTTTTATCTTGCCCACGGTAGGCTGTGGAAAAAATGGCGCATTTCTCAGAGCTTACAACCCAACAAACGTTTTTGTCTGAGGAAATGAATGGCTCAATAACTATCTGCCTCCAATTATAATGATAGCCTTTTAATTTTTACCTACAAAGGCCGGTAAATATAAGTGGCCTACAGTCGGGCCACGGTCTTTTTGAAAGCAATAACAGTTATAGGGATTTTAACATCCCATAGTCACTTAGCCATCATACCTACAGTAAAAAGGCTTTAACAGCCCTTTGGTGTAGACCCAATGTTAATAATTATTAATATTTCAGCAGTTTATCTGAAAATAAAGGTCTAGTTTGAGGAAAACATTGTTTGAATTTTTGATAATTTCAATATATATTATAATCAATATAATAAAAATCATTGAAACATTAGCAATTAAAACAATTTTTCTTAAATTGGACTTTCATTTTACCACAAACTTCAAATTCAAATATAAATGGATTTTTGAAATGCCATTCAGGTTAGGACCTAACAGAAGGTACATAATATGTATATAAAAAATTACAAAAAATTGTAACAAAAAACGTTCTGGACTTTTTATAAAACACAAACAAAATTAGGCCTTGGTAAAAAAGAAATAAACAGATACGTATAAAACAACGGAAATTCGACCAAAAAAGACATAACTGTGTTGTCATTAAAGTTTTGACAGTAGTGTTTCAATACTAAGCGGCGCAGTTTACCATATAATATGTTACATTGATCCATATTTCTTACATTTAAAGAATAATGATTAAGATCATCAGTTTGCGCCATAGTGGTTTAGTGGTTTGCACGCAGTGTTCACAGAGGTCGTCGTTTTTTAATAAAATTCTAAACAAATGTTTGGGGTAGCATGCGTGGCCCAACCTAACTCTGATTAAGGTAGTTACATAGCACATGGGGATCTTTATCTTTATGTTTGTCGGTTATAAGCAGATGGGCCAGAACACTGTGGTCTCTTGGGTCTATTGTATTCCCCTCCTTTCCCCGTATTCAGGTACTATCTTTGGAATAGTCCTGTGTCTTTGGTAAGTTTTAATAAATTCCCTACTAAGTGTTCCTGGGACGTTCTTTCCGGTTCTAGGCCGAAAAGGGTGAAACGTCGCCTAGTAAGAGCTTCGCATTCGAAGAACACATGGTATGAGGTTTCTTCCTCTTCCATGTAGTGGGATCATTGTATAATCCCATCACATGAAGGTGTTTCAGCAAATAGTGCCCCGTTAGTAATCCCACAATGGCCTTGCGAGTTGTAGTGCCTCAGTAGCCATGCGTGGGTTTGGTGCCCTTAGCATGAGCTTACTGATTCTGTGCCCTCTTATCTGTTGCCAGAGAATTTGGTGTTTTGTGGTTATCCATCCTGCCTGTCGAGCGGAGGTTTGGATACCTTTGTGCCCTGGTACCCACGCTAGTTTTACCTTGTTATGGTCCAAGGCAGTTCCAGACAAGCTTTGACTTGATTCTGTTTGAATCAAGAGCCTTTAAGGCTGCTTGGCTATCTGAGAGAATTAGGATGGTTTATTTTTTGTACTTCTTAAATTCTCTCGTACCCACAATTCGATTGCATGTATTTCAGCCTAAAATACAGTGGTATATATTCCCAGTGAGACGATGATGTCGCATTTGGGTTTAACTCCATGTACGCCAAAGGCTGTTCTCTTGTTAGTTTTAGATCCATCTGTATACCATACGAGACTGCTAAGCAAGTATTTATCTATCCCCTTATTTACCTCGTTCCAGTTGCAGTTGACCTGGAAGAGTCTGTTGAAGGTTAGGAGGAGTGTCATGTGATTTGATCCCATGTTTAATATAGAATCATTTACTTCATGTGTTATTCTGGAAGGTTTAAACCCAGTGAGTTCCGGTTGTTGGAGATTTCCAGTCTGTATGCACTCATTCTGGCCTCCCCCTTTATGACTAGGTCAAGGGGTGGGAGGTTTAGAATTAATTCCATAGAGGCTGTCGGTGTACTTCTCAGTGCTTCTGTAATACAAAGGCATGCCAGCCTCTGAACTCCTGAGAGGATATTGAGGGCTGTTTTCTGGTTTACTTTTGGCCACCAAATAACCGCTCCATAAGTTATCATGGGTCTTGTTATTCCCAAATATAGCCAGTGGACCATTTTTGGTTTTAATCCCCATGTTTTTCCAAATGCCCGTCTCCCTACAATGAGAGACATTTTACATTTGTTGGTCACTTTTTGTAAGTTTGGTACCAAGTAAGTTTGCTATCTATGATTAGACCCATATATTTTACTTGGTTCGTTTTGTTTAGCTTTCCTCCAAACAGAGTCAGAGTTTCTAAAACCTCCAACCTTGTTTTCCGAGTAAAGGTTATGAGTTGTGCCTTGTCAGGGTTTACTATGAGGTTTTCCCTAACGCACCACATTTCTGTCAGCCTAAGAGCTCTTTGCATGAGTTCAAAGACTGTGGTTTGGTGTTTTTCTCGGATAAGGACGACTATGTCATCGGGATATCCTTGGGCGTACAGCCCTTGATTGTTCAGTGTTTTCAGCAGTTCATCTGCCACTAGGTTCCACAGTAGAGGAAAAAGGACTCCACCCTGTGGGCATCTCCTGTGGATATTCACCTGTATTTTTTCACTGAACATTTGTGCCTGTACTTGCCGCCCGCGTAACATGTCTTCTATCCACCAGCAGATGGTGCCTTCTATTCCATGTTTGTGAGCGGCAGCTACCATTGATTTAAAGGAAGTATTATCAAAAGCTCCTATGTCAAGAAATGCTCCTAGGACTATTTCTTGGCTACTGAGTTCCCCCTCTATCTTGCTTACGAGATGATGCAGAGCAGACTCACAAGATTTTACTGATTGATAGGCATATGTTGATTTGCATGAACTCTATCAGAGTGGTTTGCCGGACATGCTGATCAATCCTTTCAATAGAAATGACGTCATAGTTATTGGTCTATAGACCTTTGCCCACGGCATACGTTGGACGCCCCGGTTTAGGTATAAAAACAACTCTGCTTTGTTTCCAGGTATTTGGTACATGTTTATGCACCAAACTTGCCCTGTAGAGCCTACAAATATGTGGGGCCAGCGTTTCTATTGCCTGTTGCAAAAGCACAGGCAGTAGTACCCCCATCTGGTCCCGGTGATTTGTATGGATTGAAGGTGCGTATTGCCCATGTTACTTTCTCTGTTGTGACTACCCGTTTAGCAGTTTTCTTGGCTGGAGACTCTTTTTTGGGAGTTCCAGTTCGTGTGAGTTTGGTTTGCTGCATTCGAGTTTGTTATGCAATCAGGGAAATGAGTTTTAAAAAGTAGTTCTAATGTTTCCATTCCAGTTTTAGTGTATTCTCCTGTTTGGGTTTTTAAAGTCCCCAGAGGGTTTATTGAATCTTTTGCTAGAATGCGGTGGAGTCTGCATCCTTTAGTTGTATTTTCAATTTCCTGACAGAATGTTCTCCATGAATCCCTCTTAAATTTCCTAAGAGTTTTGTTATACTCTGTGAGTGTTTCGGTGTATTGCCCCACTCATTCGTCTTTTTAGCCTTATTAAAAAGTTAACATGTTTTCCTTCGGAGTCTGATGTCTAGACCAATACTTATGTATATACAAGCTCTAGTGTTTCCACATTAGGTATTTTTATATTAACATGCCGTTTGTAGATCCAGGGTTCTTGTATTAGGGCTACGTCTATGTCCTCCCTGAAAATGGTACGTGCAAGGGTTGCGGAAGCGGCTTTGCAGTGTCTCAGATTAGCGTGCACTATTCTGAGCATCTGAAGGTTCTTCCTTCCTCTCCCTTTGCACTCTGAAGATTGCCTGAGTTAGGCCCAGATAGGGTTTTAACTGCAGGTTTTCTAAAGCTTTCAGAGAGTCGTCGTCAATCAGCAGTACAATGGTTTGACCGTTGTCTTCCACTTGCCTGTGAATGCTTGCCACTTTTCCGTTTGGAGCCCTTGGTTTTGGGTTTTGAGGAACGCAAGTACTTTTGTGGTTTCCATGTTCTGCATGGGTTTGAGTATTCAGGCCACAACTTTGTTGGCTCGGACGATCTCGCTAGAGGACAAGCCACCTTTTACCGCTTGCGCTGCAGATGTGGTTGTTCTTGCTCTGTCAGACCCAGTTTTAGGCTTCTTGGGGTGACCTCTTACCGTGGCCTCCGTTGAAGACGCATGGGCGCATGGGGATACTATACTGTTTAAACCAAGGAGAGCTTAAAATTGAAGGTTGGATTCTACAAAAATGGCTGAAATGTGTAGAGCCAAAATTACTCCAGTCTGCTCTCCACTTATAGTGAATTTCTCCCCTTCAATCACGGGCATCCGTTTCCCAGTAGTTGATTGTTGAGAATTTTTCTTTTTTAAAATAGTTTGGATTTCATTCAGATTTCTCTCTGTCGGCCATGGTCTATTTTAAAAACATTTTGTTTTTGATTACATATTATTTAGTAAATATTATACTTTTTTTTTAGAAATTAGTGGATTTCCCCCACTTTTTAAATTTCGGTACTATAGAGAAGAAAATTAAATACGAAAATCGCAACTTAATAGACTTGTACAACAACATAAAGACAGGCAGCTGGACCTTACAACCTACGATTTTGCAAAAAGGGGTGAAAAACTTTTTTGAAAATAGATCTCAAATGTCCAGATTGGACGGGGCTCATATACCACCACACAATATGAAAAAATGCAGACATTGGGATTGTGGTTACGAAGAACCCGAATATTATTGACGGGTTCATTTTTATATATTTATTTATTTATTTATTTTTATTTTGTGTATGTACCTATGTGTTCTTAATTTTAAAATTGGTAGTGAGCAAATATTTTAAAAAATGTATATATATAAAAAAAAGGAAATTACAAAAAATAATTTTATTTCTTATTATAAAATAATTTTAATGTACTTTTATCTTTGTTTAATCATCCTTTTTTAATGTATATCTATTTTATCAATGAAAAAAAAAAGAAATAAAGTATTTTTTTCTCATTTAATCATTAAAATTGCTTAATTATTGTTGACCAATATTTTTTTCTCAAAAAATAAGAGAAACAGGACCTATTTAATGGTGACCAAATTTCGAGCCTTCGAGGCTTAATCCGTCACTGCTGATAATGTACGTAGTTTGACATTCCGAAACAATGAATTTATTTTGTATTTTTTTGATACGTACTGTATAGAGTATAGTTTTAAGACTGATCTTTTTTGTATAAGTGCCTTATTTAATTGTAATAATTGTGACTACTTATTTTTTTTTAAATAAAAGAATTGTTTTGTACCTTACTGTCCCAAATAAAACTTGTGCAGTTAATATTGTAGTTTATTGTTTTCTCCGACGAGATCTTTGGAATGTTGATAGATACAGGTCAGGTATAATTTAAAAATTAAACAAATAGAATGGCACTAAAAGAAATTAGTTCTAAATAGATGAAAGTTAAAATTTATTGGTTAGGCAACCATATTCACAACTATGTATTGTTTGTTGCCTTCTATTGTTTAAAAAAATTCAAAATCATTCTATTCCACGAATTTACTATTTTTATTGATATAACCCAAAAATCGTAAATTTTCCTAAAAACGAATGATATGTTCATTTTGTAGTTAATGCTAATTTATTATTTCAGCAATACCCATAAACAATTTCGAAATGGTTTATAAGACTAATAATTATTTTTGGACCTCTTATTACTAATAGAAACATTCCTACAACGTCTCAAATTGAATATATTTTCTCCAAACCCACAAAACACCCCAGAAAAAATCCTCCATTTACCTACCTTCCGTGATAAGAAAAAACTTTTGCGACGTTGTCAAGTCGTAATTCTTGTGCGATAAATCAAAATTTCCTTCACGAACAGAACAGCCGTTGGCGGGTTGGCTTGCTAGAGGGGGAGGGTACTCCTGCCCTATCGATGGCGACGGCATTCAATGAAAAGCAAAGGAAACTAACAACTCCCGACTAATTATTCCGGGTAATTAAATGTAGGAAACTTTTGGGAGTTGCTTTCAATTCCCGGCCGCGGTGCAATTAGGAAGGAGTTCGCTCTGCCAAGAACTGAGTGTGCACTGCATGCCTCGCTTTCTAAATTATCTACGGGGAAAATCGGAAATTTGGTAACATAAATACTACCTATTTACTTCGAAAAGGCGTTTTCCTCCATTATCGGAGTTGCTGTGTTGTAAATTGAAAAAATATTACCAAAAAAATACAGTGTAAATTATAAAAATTTTCAGTAGTAAAGTGGAAACTAAATCAAAGAAATAAATGGACAGCTGTAAAATAAAAAGAAAAATTACCTTTATTTTTGTAATAATAACAGTAATACTGGAAATAGCAGAAGACATCAGAATTTCGAAAGGTTTTAAATAAACAATAAATTATCATCTAATGATAATCTTCAACATTCTTTTAATCTTAAATATTCAACAGGAACTAGATTTCTGCAATTTTGTGACTTTGTGAAACCAGTTTTAATCATTCATTTTATGTTTTCTTTCGAACAAAAATGAAAATATAGGTATATAACAGTCGCTATTATATGGTGGTATTTTTTTTATTTTGACAGATTAATTCTTTAAAGACAACTTATTAGACTCAGGCAACTTCTCATACATTTTCCCGTAAATACTGTTGCCTGCCTATATTTTGTTATTTATTTTTAGTGATTATACTTAGGTTTTTTTTTAGTTTAAGCGATAAAAATATATATTAATAAATTAATGTTTCACTTGACTTACAAATCCATATACTTTTATTAAAACTAACATATATATTATACATTTTAATTACGAATTCTATTAAAAATTGTATTGTCAGTATGCGCAAAAATAGTCTATTAGTACAGGACTGTTGTCACGCACTGAGCGAATAGTTACCCCGTTGACGGCGGAGTAACTTTTCTTGGGAGGGGGTTTGAGTTTGACCCCCTTAAAAATGCACTTTTCTATAAAATAATAATCAATATATGGGATGTTTACTGTTTATATCTATAAGCATAATAATTTAAAACTGAAACATGTATTATGCAGATGTGAAAAACACCTTTAAATACGTATATATAAATTTAAAATAAGTATATAATATAATGTAGACTATGAAGGTATAATATAGTAAGTTGATGTAAAAAAACATTCAAAATTAAATTAAGAACATTTTTCCTTATATAGTACCTCTGGATTCCCTGCACCGGCGTCAATGAGTGACTCAAAACCAGGCGCGAACACTTGTGTCCCTTGAGGGTTATAGGGTATAATTAGCCCCCTCCCCCCCGATCTGCTCGAAGAAATCCTGGAATTTATTAAATTGTTACCTCGAGATTTTACTAGGATGCAAAAAAATGACGCGACGGCGATGAATAAAATTATTTACAGGTTGACTTATAAAAATAGAATTTGGTTAACCTTACAACCTAGTAATAATGTTGTTTTGGTCCTTGTTTTCCATTCTAAATCATCACAAAATAATTAAAACACAATACATGACAAAATAATCCACTTTCTTGAAATCTTAATAACTTTAACACCCAATGAAAAGTAGCCCATTTCCATTTGATAAAATTTGGTTACGATGAATTTAAAAGAAGAGATTTTTTAAAAAAACATCCTGCGTACAGGTAATATATATAAAATAACACATATCAGCAAACGCCGCACGTTTCTACGATTTTTTATAAGCTCTGGACACCCTGTATAAGCACACTACAATAAGTCGTTGAGAATAAATGCATATGATTTTCTATTTGTTAACAAAAGAATGAAGTTAATCATATGGAACTAACATTATAAGAAAGTAATGATATTGATTACCTAGTAATGTTGTTTTGGTCCTTATTAGCTATTTTAAATCAGCACAAAATAACTAAAATACAATACACAACAAAATAATCAACTTTCTTGAAATCTAAATAATTTTAAAAAACAATATAAACACACTACAAGTCGTTGATAATAAATTAATATTATTTTCTCTTTGTCAATAAAAGAATGAAGTTAATCATATGCAACTAGCAATACAAGAAAGAAGTAATATTGGTTGCCTAGATGTCAGTAATTTTTTAGCAAAACACAATTTTATAATCTGTCAAAATTAGAAAAAATATTCTATGTAACACGATACGAAATTAGAAATTTCGCAATTGTTTTCATAAATAGCTATTAAAAGTAAACAAAGAAACTGTGAAATTATTAACAAAATACAAAAATTCAACTTTAACATTGACAGTCTGTAAATTTTTTATTATTTAATGTTTTATTGAATTATGTTAAATTACTCTGTGAACCATTAATTACAAAAAACCCTGTTGATGTAAAAATAAATTATATACAGTGTGTCCACTTATTAAGTTCACACCATATAGGAAACTTTTTTATTATTAACTTTACTAAAAAAGTTATTCTTCATAAAAAGTTCTGCATGGTCTGAAACCCAAAATACAACCATCAGATATCAAATTTTTACATACAATAATTGTATACGAGGTATGTCAAATAATATGAATTTTACTAAGTACCTCTATTCTGACAAACCTCGTATATGACTCATAAAATTTGATATCTGATCGTTGTAGTTTAGGTTTTAGACCATGCACAATTTTTTATGAATACATTTTTTTTTTCTAAAATTAATAATAAAAAAGTTTTCCATATGTAGTCAGTCTACGTAAGTTAGCGGTATATGGAAAAACTTTTTTATAATTAATTTTAGGGAAAAAGTTATTCTTCATAAAAAGTACTTAATAACCTAAAACATAAAATTCAATCATCTAATACCAAGTTTTATCAATTATATAAGAGGTTTGTGAAAAATAATGAAACGTTACTCTTCAGCTCAATTCATATTATTTGATATACCTCGTAGACTATTGTAAAAATTTAATATCTGATGGTGTGTCATTTTAAGCCGGGTCCAGATAAATAAATTTTTGTGTTGAATGTTGTGTGTTGAATTCGACAAAAATATTTTCGGCGCAAATATTTTTTTATTGTGATTATCTCGCAAATATGTGCGTTTTGTTGGTATATCTATTGCGTAGTTTGGTCTCTAAAAGGATCGGAGACTAATATTGGTGATTCGAATACGAATCCTTTAGGTTTTCCACGGCGAATCCGGATCACGGATCCTTTTTTTCTTAAGTATTCGAATAACGCTCTCAGATCCTCAAAAAGGATTCGAATCCTAGGTGATTCGAATCCTCCCCAGCTGTGCAGTTTCTTTTGATTACATATGTCTTCTTTGGTTCAATAGGCCTCTTAAACTAGAGCCAGAATTTTTTGAGCAAAGATAATTTCCTGCCCTTAGTTGAACATTATATAAAACATTCTGGCTCTGGTTTAAGAACACATCTGCAATCAAAAGAAATATAAGAAAGCAGCATATACAAATTTGTTTGTGGCCGATTTAAGCAAAAAACTTTTATTTATACTCCGCTTCGCAGAAGGGTTTTGATACAGCTGGGTAACTCTTGTTTTATTTTTAAACAAGTTCAAGAGAAAAACAATAAAAAAAATACCGCGATATACTTGTTCTACGCGCCATATATGCATGAGACGATGCATTTTCGTACCTTATCGTATATAGTCCGTCGGAAAGCCCGGTCTAGGACGCAGAAAAAAAAAAACCGAAGTATAACCAAATGGGACCTTTACCATTTGAAAAAGCATGCTTTTTTACATTGAAAATGGAAATTGACGACTCTCTCCATTGGTCGAGACTAAATATATAGGAAAAAAACAAAAAAAAAGGTGTTTTTTTTTGTTAACTTTGAACATTCGTAACTTTTTAACTAAAGAAGTTAGAATAACAATTTCTTTTTTGTTTTATTCCTTATTCAATTATTCAATTTCTTTTCTTTTAATGTATTTGCTTTTATAAAAATTTTGTAAACTACCTATATTAAAAAAGAGTAATATTTAAAAAAAAAAAACAAAAAATTGACAATATTTTTTTTAATCCACCTTGTCATAACTTTCTTATGCAAAGAGCTATTTAATATTTTTTAATTTAATCAGCTGCATTTTGTCTCGATTAATATGGGGTCTATTTTAAATAATAAAAGCGCTAGCGGCTTTTAAACGTGGGGGCGCCTGGCTCGGCAGCCGGATTAATAGCGGGTTTTTTCATTGCGATCGACATACCTCTTGTTGCACTATGTAGTGAAGATAAATCGTAATTTGTTCATTTTCTTCCAAAAAATTCTAGTACTTTATAAAAATAATAAATAATTGTGGCATAAATATATTGTTAAATACAAATTTTAACAAACAAAATTAAAACAAACTATCGAAAAATGTATAATAATCAACAGGATCTTCAGATTCATTTGCATTTTCCTCTCGGTGACGATTAATATTAATGCAAATCATTTTACAATTGCAATTTGAACTACAAGATACCCCCTCTTTTTTACACTGACCTTTTTTTCGTGTTGCAGTTCTTGTCATTACAAAATAAGGAGATAATTAGTCGTATATCTTCTGGAACTGGATCTTGATGCATCATTTCTGGAACCATAAAATTGTCCTCATTTAAAATCCATCCATATCGAAAGGGATCTTTTTTGGTTACCTCACCAATGTGGCTATTTATCCATATAAATGTTTGATAATATGTCCTAAAATGACACATAATAATAAAATACGTACAATTTTTGCTTTGTAAAGAAATAGTAATCGCTGAAGGTTTTGAAGATGGCGGTAAATGTTTTAAAGTAAGTATATATTTAGTTCCATCCATATTCTTGTAAGTACATATAGAGAACTTTAAATATATTTGTTTAATTTTTTTAAGATTTCAAACCATGCTGTTTCGGAACAAACACATTTTATACCTCGGTTTTTTTTTCTGCGTCCTAGACCGGGCTTTCCGACGGACTAATACCTATTACTTTCTGTTGCATTTTATTGCTTGTTAAAAACTAAAAGTAAGAATCTAATAAGTCTGAGACACATGCCAACGCACTACGAGTTGGACTAGAAAAGTTAGCTTGGATGTAAGATGGTAAATGTTTTAAGTACATCTCGGGTCTAATTTTATTTAAAAAATCTGGTGTCCAACACATGACTTTCCTATCTAGTTATTATAGGCTTTTTCCGGTTATTTTGTACAACATTGCAGCATCCCTATAAATGTTTAGAGGATAAACTAAATACATACATTTTCCACATACATATCTAACTCGAAACATTTTTCTATAGATATTTATTAAAAACAAAAATACTGAAAAATTTTAATTTAGCACTTTTCCTCCAATTTTCCATTACGGTCCAATTTAGAAAAATAATGCAAAAAACAAAAATTATAGAGATCGATATCGCACACTTTTAGTTTAACAATTTTCTTAAAAATCAGAATTTTGCACATTTTGTCAAATTTCTCGAATACGGACCATTTGACATGAAACAAAAATTATAGATAATAATATTAGAAGTAACTTTTATTTGAACAATTTTCTTCTCCAAACAAAAATAACAGATATATTCCCTAAAATATAAAAACGACCTCCTATAAAGTACCCTCCCCTTCAGATATTCCGAGTTTGTCCAAAATCTAATCATTTCACCTCAGGCCGAAATAAAACTTAAGTATTAAATTTAATGTTTTCTCCTTTATGCATTTTTGAGTTTTCTTCAAAATTCGTGATTTACACATTTTTTTAAATATCTCGAATACGGTCCATTTTAGAGAAATTATGTATAGGATAAAAATTACAGACAATTATATTCAAACAAATTTTATTTGAACAATTTTTATAAAAAATTATTTTTTTTTACATTTTGTAAAATTTCTCGAATACGGACCATTTTAGGAAAATTTTGTATAGAAAAATTATAGATAATAATATTATAAGTAACTTTTATTTGAAGAATTTTCTTCTATAAACGTAAATAACAGATATATTCCATAAAATATAAAAATCACCTTCCATAAAGTACCCCCCAGACGTTCTTTGTCCAAAATCTAATCATTTTACCTCAGACCGAAATAAAACTTAAGTTTAAAATTTAATGTTTTTTCCTTTATCCGTTTTTTAGTTTTCTTCAAAATTCGAAATTTACATTTTCTCAAAATCTCGAATACGGTCCATTTTAGAGAAATTATGTATAGGATAGAAATTATATTACAAACAACTTTTATTTGAACAATTTTTATAAAAAATTATTTTTTTACATTTTGTCAAATTTCTCGAATACGGACCATTTTAGAAAAATTTTGTATAGAACAAAAATTATAGATAATAATATTGTAAGTCCGTTATCGTAGATACAGACACACAGATACGACACACACACGCGAAAATAGTCAAAACAGATTTAGGGGACCCAAAACGTAAAAATCCGTCGAAAACTCGAGGTAAAAAAATCATGATTCCTACTTTCCTTATCTGTATCCAGATAGGAAAGTAAAAAGATTTAAATACCATGCTTCAAATTTAAATATCATAATTTACTTTGAGACAAAAGTATGATGGTATTATAGTGTATTTATAAAAACGTCCAAACTTCAGCTTTGGACGATGTATAAATACGTTTTTTACTATCAAATGATGACATAAATCAATGAATTTCAAATAAATATTCGGAGTTCCCCAAGGATCGGTTTTGGGTTCATTATTATTTTTGCTTTTCACTAACGATATTGTTTGTATTTTGAGCGTTTCTGTTGTTTGCTGATGACCACTGAAATCTCTACGTATAATGAGTGTTTAATGCTTCAAGAGAATCTTAACCACTTAAACGAATGGTGCAGAAGAAATAGATAACCGTTAAATATTAAAAAGTGTAATGTAATGATATTTACTAGAAAGGAATGGGCAACGTATTAAATTATAATTCATAAAATTCTACACTAATTCGACTACAACTCATTAAAGATCTTAGTGCATTTTTACTCTAAAATTAACGTTTATAGTCATATTTTTTTGGACTGCGTGAAAACATTTTAAAAATTTTGAAGAACATTTTTAGTGGGGTGGAAAAAGATAAAAACGTAAATTTCAGCCAAATAGAAAAGGGCCAATTTGGCGTGGAATGGGCCCAAATATAAAAATGCGGGTCTTTATTGTTGATTCTAGTTAACTATTATAATAGCCTTTTCCTTATCTTGAAACTCGGGGCAATCCTGTTGGATATTGTATTAAATAAATAAATAAATAAGGAAAGGTAAAAAATAAAAAACGAACAAAAAATAAAATTCAATATATTGAAATAAATTACACAATAATAAGTAAAAATCGCAGAAACGAACACATTCAAAAAACTTTCTTCAACAGCCGCTTAAACCCCTTTTTCTCCTTCTTGACCACCACTCCGTCCACAGCACTCAACGCCGTTACGTTCTCAATCAATCCTACCTCCCCCTCATCCCGATCTTGACTAGACTTTGACTTGACCTCATCGTCGCCGTTCACCTCGTTCGACAAACGACACCCATCCAATATGGAGTTGTCGCTCTCATCTAACACCACTGTCGCTTCCTCTACGACAGTTTGTCGCTCACTCGGCCACCGCTCCTTGTCGATTTTGATATTCCCTAACGAGATCGATCTGTTATGCACCGGTCGTTTGCGCTTTCGTCTCTTATGCGCCTGCACATCTTCGGAATCGCGCCACGCGATCCGCATAGCCTGATCGCTCGGCCGGCGCTTGCGCTCCGTCTTCTTCGGCTTCAGTTCGTCCAAAGACTTGCGACGAGCAATCGCAGACACTTGCGAGCGACGCCGCGCGCGATCCGCGCATCGCCCGCAAAAAAAGTACACGCCCGCGCTGCAGAAGCCGAAGAAAAGAAGACAATAGACGACGGAGAGGAAGGTGCGACGTTCGGCCGCCATGGTTTCGATGGTGGTGGTGAGTTTGTCGAGTCGTTCTTCGAGTTGCTTGTTGAGTTCGTCGCGCTTTAGCGTCTCTTCGCGCATTTCTTCGACTTGTTTTTTGTAGCGTTTGCTGAGTTCTTCTAAGTACTGGCTGGAGATCGACATGTTCCTTTCTAGCGACTGTAAATAATAAAAATTATAAAAGAACTTCAGAGAAAATAACTTAAGTAAAGAGATAAGAACATTTAAAAATAAAAATACTTAAGTAAAAAGAATCTAAGTAAAGCCAACCTAAGTTAAAAAAAACCTAAGTAAAAAAATAACCAAAATAAAAAGAATCTAAAAAACCTAAGTAAAAATACCTAAGTAAAAAAGCATAATTTTAAACCAAAGAAAAAGAAAGTACAAACCTAGGTAAAAAGAGCATAAGAAACCTAAGTAAAAAGAATCCAAGTAAAAGGAAAGGACTCTAAGTAAAAGAAAAAGACCCTAAGTAAAAGGGGTCTAAACAAAAAAATCCAAACTAAGAAAAAACCTAAGTAAAAATAAACCAAACAAAAAAGAACCTAAGTAAAAAAATGAAAGAACTTAAGTAAACGAAGTCTAAGCAAAAAAGAATCTTAAATAAAAAACGAAGTAAGAACCACAAAAGAGAAAAGAAAAGAACATTAGTAAAAATAAAAGAATCTATGTAAAAAAAGAACCTAAGTAAGACGAATCTAAGTATAATTAACCTAAATTAAAAAGAACCTAAGTAAAAATCCCAAGTAAAGACCTAAATAAAAGAGAAGCTAAGTTAAAAAACCTGAGTAAAAAAGAATCTAAGTAAAAAGAAAAGAACCTAAGTAAAAGAAATTCAAAAGAGCCTAAGTAAAAAAAACCTAATTAAAAAAACAAAGAAAAATGAATCTAAGTAAAAAACCTAAATGCTAAAAGAAACTAATTAAAATACTAAAGTATAAACCTAGGTAAAAAAGAATAAAAAAGAACCTAAGAGAAACCTAAGTAAAAAGAATCCAAATAAAAGAGAAGATCAGTAAAAAGAAATGAACTTAAGTAAAAAACGCCAAAGCAAAAGGACCATAAGTGAAAAATTTAATAAAAAAATCTAAGAAAAAGGAACCTATGTAAAAATCTAAGATAAAATAAACTAATTAAAAAACCAAGGTTAAAAACCTAGATAAAAAATAAATAAAAAAGAGTCCAAGTAAAAAGAATCCAAATAAAAGGGAAATACCCTAAGTAAAAGGAGTTTAAGCTGAAAACTCTAAGTAAAAACACAAATTAATAAAAAAGTATCTAAGAAAAACCTAAGTAAAAAAGGAAAGAAACCAAGTAAAAGAGTCTAAGCCAAAAGAAACCTAAGTAAAAACCTAAGTAAAAACCAAAGTAAAAGCAGTCTAAGGAAAAAAGGTATTTAAGTAAAAAACAAAGTAAACACCCCAAATAAAAAATAATCTAAGTAAAAAGAACTTGCGTAAAAATAACATACGTTAATAAACTTACGTAAAAAGAAAAGGGACCTAAATAAAAAAAACCGATTTAAAAACCCAAATAAAAAAGAACTTAAGTAAAAACTAAGTCAAAACATACGGAAAAAACCTTCGTAAAAAAACTTTAATAAAAAAACTTAGAGACAATGAAAATACTTAAGTAAACAGAAAAGAAAGTAAGTAGAAATAAAAGAACTTAAGTAAAAAAGAACCTTGGTAAAAAAAACAAAGTAAAACCCAATAAAAAACCCAAGTTAAAAAGAAGCTAAGTAAAAAGAAAATGTCCTAAGTAAAAAAAGTATAAGCTGAAAAACAAAGTAAAAAAACCTATAAAAAAACTAAGAAAAAACCCAAGTAAAAGACCATAAGTAAAAAGAAAATAACCTTAGTAAATACACCTGAATAAAAAACCAAAGTTAAAAGGCTAAATAAACAACTTAGGTAAAAATCTAAGTATAAAAGAACACGAGTAAAAAGTAAAAAGAACTTAAGTAAAAGAGCTTAAGTAAAAAACAAGTAGAAAGAATCTAAGTAAATAATTAAATAAAAAATAACATAAGATAAACCCTGAGTAAAAAAAAACTAAGTAAAAAAAGAACATAAGTAAAAACGAAAGGACCTAAGTAAAAGAAGTTTAAGCAAAAAAAATCTATGTAAAAAAAGCAGAAGGCCTAAATAAAAAAGAATTTAACTTTATTTTAAGACAGTGAATTTATCAATTTCGGGAAGTTCCCTTTCGTTTGGTAAAAATCATGACCGGGTGTGGAGTAAAATTTAAAAAGAAAAGAAAAATTTATAATAAATGCGTTTTCAAAATTGCGACATGACATGACTCACTAGTTAGTAATTAAGTATAAGTTCCAAGTCATAAACATAGCGTTACATAATTTTAGCGCCCAAACAGAAACTTACCTTTATACGGTTAAATAATCTCAGAAAGATAGATTCTTTGGCAGCTTGAGGACCGCTGGCGGCGGTCGAAGTAATCACCGGATTCTGTCCGTCGGCGGCGTTCAAATCCACCATAATATGGTTCAACTGATCGTCCAAAACGTCCGTTCCCTCAGTAGAAACATCCCCTTCACTGCTAAAAGTCCCTTCGGTACTCGCTTCGGTCAAAATAGTCCCTGTCTCGGGCGCTTCCGTCGAAATTTCCACCGGAACGACTTTCTCCGTCGTTACCCCTTCCGTGTTCGTCTGCGTAAAGTTCGCGTTGACCGTCAAAGTTTTCGTCGGCTTAATCTGCGCTATTTCTTGCGTGGAAACGTTCGAATCCGTCTGGTTCTGGGTAATGACGCTAGGTGTCGTTACCCCAATCGCTTGAGGTTGATCTTTCGCATCGTCGACGTCCATACGAACGATTTTTTCGTTGGACAAATTCTTGGTGATGTTGCTGAAGTGTTGGCTGACGTTGACGACGCCGTTGTTTTCTAGAATGGCGACTTCGTTGCACATGGCGCCCACGTACTTTTCGGGAAAGAATGCGCCGATGTTGCTGATCAGCGACGTCCGTTTGGACGCGTTACGGAACCGGTAACCATATTTTTCGCATATCGACGACGATTTTAACGTTCTGAAGATGGTCGGGATGCTGACGAGACGTTTGATTTCTTCGGCATTGCAGCTGAGTAGGCCGTAGATCTGGAAATGATTTTTTTAAGCAAATGAGAATATTTGGAACAGGTAGTAATTAATAGTAAACGTTTCCAGGTACGCCAAGACCTATTCTAATAATCCAGCATACACAATTTGATAGCTACAACTATTTTACTTTGCTTTACGAAACTTTCTTGAGCATGAGGTTAATAAATTATCCAACAAATCTGGAAAGAAACACAAATATACCTCCAAGCAAAATTTTACCTGTCCAAATAGGGTTTCGCTGCATTTGTCGCAACTGACGAGATGCCTGGGCGAGCTGCAGGTACTGATCAACGTGCTGACCGTCGAATTTTTCGTATTTTGAGCGGCCTCGTTGGATTTGGTGCCGAGAATCTGCGCGGCACGTTTCACGACCGACATTACAGCGTCCGTAGCTGAACTGAAAATGTTTTTCTTGTCCGTATTTTCTTGTCCGTCCGTATCCTGCTCGTAATCGTCATCGTCGTCATCATCGTCGTCCGGTCGGTTCACGTTGGCGGCGTCTTCTTTTTGAAGAACTTCGAAAAAACGCTCAAATTAGTCGCATTTAATGATAAGGATGGTTTTATAATTTTTGGGCCAATTTTCCTGAACTATAATTTGATAATTACATCATAGCGCAGGAATACTTGACAAAAAATTAGAAAAAACAAATAAACTAAACAAAATTGCAAATATTTATATTTTTTACATAACTCACTACTTTTTATAAATATAAAAGTGGCACTTGTCAAGTAGACATATCCTAACTGATTAACCACACTATAGTCTCTGTAATAGTTAGAGACTGAGTAACCTGTATATCATTTTTTTGTTACTATTTTCAAGTGTTTTTTATTTCAATATCAATTAGTGATGACGTAATTTTGTTTTTGACAATTCCAGTGACAGATATAATTCAAATTGACATGTATGCCAATAACTTTGACAATTAAAACATAAAAGTAACGAAATGTTTTTTTTTTTAATTTTTTATCCTGTTTACTAAAACTGGGAAGAAAACTCTTAAAGAAGTATATAATAGTATACAGGGTGCCCTATCAGTGCGTGGAAGTCCCAATATTACTAATTTATCTAATAAAATGAAAGCTTATCAAAAACTAACATATTATAATAACAAAAATGAAATAATATACTAGGCGTTCAATTTGAAAACACGAAGTTATAGATGTTTAACGATTAGCATATCGGTTCACTTGTATAAAATCGCCTGTATATAAAAATAAAATTTTGATCCTCTTAGACGTATCAGTTAACCCTAATCTTTGTATTTGCCAAATATTTTAACTTAACTGTCAGTAACAAGTTTTTTAATTATATTCGTCATAAACAATAATTGTTGAGTATTTTTCACATTTTTTGTCATAAATTGACAACGTCGCAAAATAAAAAAAAAACTTACTGTAACGTAACAATTTAAGCTGAAATCAATGGTGAAAAAATATATAGGATTAGTTATTAAACTTCCAACTTTAATTTGTCCCAATGTAACGGAACGTCCTGTACCTATAATTTGCAGTTTTATTAAAACTATGCCAAAACGTAAACTGTTAAAGATATACAAAATATTTTTTTGATATTTCATATGATAAGTAGAGAGATATTGGACTTCCTCGCACCAATGAGTCACCCTGTATAAATTTTAGATACAAAATTACTCATCAGCTTGAAGCTTGAAGCAATTGACATTGACAAATTAATTAACTGTGGCAAAAAGACGTAAGGTTTGTTCCAACAACAATTTTGGGACCATACATAAACCAGTCCACAACTTATTATCGACGACCTGTCCACGACCTGTCCACGACCTGTCGAGGATTGGGACGCGATTCGGAACTTGGATGTGTTGGAACACATTTTTATGTTGTCAGACACACTCTGTAAATAACGTCAAAGTAAAAGCAAATTTAATTTTTAGAGTTGGTGGTGGTTTATTTACGAGCTCACTTTCGTTTTGCGCATATCTTGACAATTCGTTCATATTCACACCCAGGAACTGATTTGACAGTACAGAAACTGGTTTGTGATTAAGTTTGGGTGTGTTGGAACACTAGGTTTTTGTACAGTTTTGAGTCCGAAGTTTGTTGGAACACGAAATCTAGACTGCGCAGAATCCCGACAGTACGCAAACCGATTTGCTATTGTGTTGGAACAAACCTCATAATTAAAATATTTTTCCAAAAAATCGATTTTTTCCCGTATTATAATCATCCGAAAATTCTTTTATAGTTCAGGAATATTGATAAAAAGAATGGAAATTTTGACTATCAATTCATATTATAGTCAATTAATAAATTACATTGCAGCAGTTGAGTAAATACGACGGATATAAAATATACTGAACCGCAAAATTAACTGGACATTTAATTTCGTCCAGCAAATTACTTTTTCTCGTTTTTTAACGTTTTAAACAAAGATGATTTTTGATAGTATGAAATTCGAGAAACCTCGTGTACGGTTAATTTTGCAGTCAAGCATAGTTTTAAATTGTTATTGAAAAACAAATTTAACGCAATATTCTTTACCTTCAAAAACCGAAGCTCCGTAGGCCCTAAACAAGGAAATAGGGCAATAATGTTCAGATCCGTAATGAGATTTCACTTCGACTTTAATATATTTTCCAAATAATTCTGTATCCAAATCGAAACTTTGGATATCTCTCTCATCGTCAGCTGTAAATTTTCCTATTAACGCCCAGTCCCGAGTAGGAAATCTATAAATTTAAAATCATTTAAAAAAACTGTCAAAATAAATAATTTTCGACACTTGCCTCTCGCTGACGGACACCGTGAACTCTTTTGGCGACGAGGAAAACAACTCGTAATTGGCCAAATCGATTTTCTTGGCCTGTATGGCTTCGCAAAGTTCCACCACGAACCATATCCGAGCCGTGCAAGGGTTTAACTTGTATTCGTCGCTAGACGGCGACAAGATGGCGCTCGGACTGACTGCCTCTGGATTAGCGGCCACCACTTTGGAACCGCAATCCAACGAAGCGTAGTTCTTCCATCTGAGCTTGGCGTTTTGAGTTTTGCCTGTGGAAAATGTTATTTGTATATTTTGGACCAAAAGAAGAAGACATCTAATATTTTTAAATCAAGATACAGAAGGTACGCTAAAAGCACAGCTTATACAATACAGCTCCACAACTCCGTGTCGGCGTCTTTGATCTGGCGGTCGAGAACCAAGCAAGACGGAATGGTGCTATCTCTGTTAGATTCGAGGGAAAAGTCGGGCCCGGATTAAACAATTTTTTTATTATTGAAAAAATTGAAAACCTTGGCGTAATAAGGTTGGTTACATGCCATATTAAGTAAGTTTTGGGAAATTAAATTTTTAATTTGTTTTAAATCTGTCAAATATAATTAGAAACATTATTTAAATATAAATATTACGAAAAATAGCACATCTTTCAGATTAGAGGTAAAATAATTTGTATGTGGCTAGTAAAATCCTCGTTAACAAATGTTTTGATCTAAAACAGTCACTTCACGACAAATTGTGGCTTGGATCCTTCTTACACCAAGGGCTTCAATTGTTAAAGAATTGTGTCACGCTCGTGGATGCAAATCAAGTGGTACCCCGTGTCTCTGGCAAGTGTTACTCTTCGCGCAAAGGGTTTATACCTAGATAAACGAATGCTTCGACTGAGGTCTGGGAACTCTATGGTATTTTGGAATTATAAAGAATGTGTGCTTTAATTTTAACAATATTGGTTATATTTAGATGTATTCTTATTAATTGAAATATAGATTTGTAGAAGTAATACTTTGACAGTTTTTATTAATATAATATATTCAATTTTTATCTGACCATACCGAAGTAGGGAATTTTGAAACTTTATAGTAATGTGAAATTTGAATTACAATATTACACGATATTAAATAATTAGTACTTATTTTAGGTAGATACTAAATTTGTACTTGGAGAAAGTAATATCGATTTTTACAAGAAAACTTGAAAAGTAAATTAATTTAGTTCCTATTTCTGATGTAAAACTTAAGTTTTGGTTTAAACCAAGAAAACAAATAAATTATAGTTTGTTCAACAAGGGTGGATATGATAGCAATATCACACAAAGACGAAGTTTGAGCACGACGTCGTATGCGGAGTACTCAATCGTCTGATTGTGATATGAACAATCCACTCGATATGGTCAGTATATTTTTTCTACGACCCACTAACGAAAATCTACAAATTTAAAAAATTATTTTAGGTTATTTAGACAAAATAACTAATTTTAAAATAATTTACGAAGTTGACTAATTTATAAAATAAAATTAACATGAAAAATTAATTAGTCCTCGGCCTAGATTCGATCCCGGGCTTTTCGCGTGGAAGGCAGATGTTCTGTCCTCATCTTCACCGAAACTTTCAGGACTTTAGTTTTAATACTCGTAATTAAATTAGTATCATGTAGTTTGATTAAAATTTATTTTTTTTAAATGTGGACACAATAAAAACAAAAATGCTATTATTTATCGAGTCTACACAAAAATTTTAATGTAAATTTAATATCAATAACTAAAATATATATTGACAATTAGTTTAACAGAATTGTCACTTATTTAAAAAAAATTAAATAATAGGAGTTGGGTGATCAAAATATGAACTGTGATTTGTAGATTTAATTTTGTTAAAGTGTTCTCACTACCTAAAATGGATATGAAATATATTCGTAGTTGAACGCAATAACATACTTTTTCGTTTTGTAGTATGTGCATAGATTGGCTAATATCCATGCACAGATTACAAAACGAAAAAGTATGCTATTGCCTTCAATTGAACGAATATATTTCATATCCATTCTAGGTAGTGAGAACACTGCAAAAAAAAATAAATTCGCCAATCACCGTTCATATTTTGATCAACCGACTGCTATTATTTTTAAAATTTTAAATAAATGACAATTCTGTCAAACTAATTGTCAGTATATTTTTTAGTTATTGAGATTAAACATACAATAAAATAAGTTATTCTTTTGGAAAACGTTAGCATGGATGACTAAAGGGTATTGGGTTAATTAATTCTAAAAGTGTGGTACAAATGTTATTTTTTGTAGCCAATTCTTCAAAATTATTTTGAAATATCTTTTCAATATTGAATATTAGTTCTACAAATTCATCATTTGACAGTTGCAGATTTCCAAATGTATCTGGATTGGCGTTATCATATGCCTTTAAAAAGCAATAAAAAGAAAAATCATCTAATTCAACGTGATCTTTGTTATATTTAAGACAGGTATCGCAGAGGAGTGGATCCGCAAGGCTTTTATTAAAAGGTAACCACACACATACCTGATAAAATTTTTCTGTATCAATTCGTCTTTACAATAATTTAGGGTGTTAATAATTTTATCATAAAATAAAATACAAGGTGTTCCATTTAAAAAACATACATTTCAATTTGCCAGGCAAAAACGTGACACCCTGTATATCCAAAGATATTTTTAAAATATGTAGGTATTTTTCAAATCCATATAACTTTTATTTAAAACTTTCTTGCGTGTCTACAACAAAATAATGAACAATAACGCACTAATGGGATACCCTGTATAAATTATATTTTTAACAATGAAAATTTCTTATAATGTGGTACTTATCGGTTTTGGTCCTTGGGAAAACTAAAGAATGTTTTCTTGCAGGTATAACCCTTATTAAAACAGCTTTTGACTGCACAAACAGAATGATGTCTTTTTTTTTCACTCATTCTACTCATAGCTAAAGAGTCACCAAAATAATAACAGTACCTTTAACTCAAACAAAATCAACGAAATTATAGGCTCCACGAAATTATACAATCAACGAAATTATACGCACGACTCAACACCTTACCTAAATACGCTTCTGAACACCAAAACCGTTCCGCCAAGAGAGTGTTTTAGCTGTATTGTATAAGCTGTGCTAAAAGTTCAAATTTATGTCGTGGGCAGTAGCGGACATATCCCTACACGAAGGTGGAGGGGCTTATATATACCAATTTTTTTTATTTATTGAAATAGATACACTACAGAATTATTATTCTAAATGGTACACAAAATTAAAAATGCCACATAAAAAAAAAGAAAAAAAGACGGTGTAAAATCACACACATATTAAAACAAAATTATTTAGAAAATTTCAAGGTAAAGCTTATTATAAATGTGGAACATAAAGTCAATAAATGCTCTTTGTCCATAATTGCTTCTACGCCTTCTGATAAAAAACAGTGAAGGATGACGTGTACGTCGAGTAGGTGCCAAAAAGCTTACCGATTGTAATAAGGCGCTACAGCCGATCTTGCCGTCATGAAGTATTTTATATAGCAACAGAACTTCTTCTGGTTTCAAGACTTTGCATACCACATAAATTTAGCTTACTTTCGTAACCAACGTTTCGGTAGGCAAAGTGGTGTTTGTGTGTGAATTCGAGAGCTATGGCTGTGGAAGCTGAATCCATTTGCCAAACTAAGAAAGTGGTGTTTAAACAGCAATTAATTAGTGAATTTACGCTGAACTCATTCTATCCTTTATATGCGGCAGGTATAGTTATGGTGTTATACGACGGAGCAATTTTCAAGAATGCTTCTAACAAGGCTGTTAAATAATGTTAAGATTACATGTTGGGTATTTCTTTTAATAAAGCCTAGCATCCGGAAAGCTTTAAAAATAATGGAATCAATGTGTTCTCGAAAGGACTATTCCATATCAAAGATCACACCTAGATCATTCACTGAAGTGACGCTTTTTAGCACAGTATCATCAATTTTGTATTGGTTTGGAGTAGGAGTTAAAGCTCTAGTGAACTTGATGGTCTTGCATTTACTGGTATTTAATGAGGAACGGTTAACCTTGCACCACTCGTTTAATCTCTTTAGATCACTTTGAAGGGCAGTATTGTTATGTGCGACTGTGCTGAAAATTTTTTAAATCATCGGCATATAGAAGTACCGTTTGAAAAGCAAGAAATTGAAAGTGAAAAAAGGACAGGACCAAGATGTGGGCCTCGCGGAACGCCTGATGAAACTGATACTTCCGAAGATGTAGAATTATGAATGAAACTTGTTGGAAGCGATTATTAAGTTATGATTTTATCCAATTGAGATAGTTACCAGTAATACCTATTTCTGAAAGTTTTTTAAGTTGTTGAGAAACACTATCAAAGGCTTTTGACAGATCTGTTTAAATTGCATCCACCTGGTGGCCAACTTTCACAGAGGTTATGAGATAGTCCTGGAAACGACAAAAGTTTGCTCGAAACGACGGAATCTTCTTGGTATGCCGCTGATGCTTCGAGAAACTGCCAGAACGGGCGGTGTGTGCCGTTGAGTCATAGAGATGGAATTTTCGGGTGACATTCAGGAGCGTCTAGAAACTGCCAGTACAGAGTGGGCTTTGTATAAACAACGTAAGTTCGTCGACGGACGAGTAGTTTAGAATAAAGTATTGGACCGAAAAGATAAATTGTAATAAATAAATTAAAATTGTGAGTTAGTGCCCAATTATTATATAAATTAATTAGTACGTCATAAATAAATTGTAAATAGTGCTTTAAGTAAATAAATTATAAATAAATTAAATAAACGTCACAATACTATGAAAAAACAGGTCCTAATTTTGTCATTTAAAAAAGAAAAAACCAGGTCTGTAGCAGTATCAGAAAAACCCCGATAATATATGTAACTGCTGAAAGTAGTTTATGAATGTTTCAGCTTTAGAGTAATCAAATAAAAACAAGATATCTTTTATTTAATTTGCCATCAGTTTTCAATTATTGTAGTTTCAATCAGAGTGTAGAGTATGTATAGGAATGCAGGGGCGGTTTCTCCATTAGTTCATTTGTGCAGTGAACACCCAGTTAAATTTCATAAAAGCACATTATTTTAAAAACGCATAAATAACTTAAAAATATAAATTCAATTTAATATATTTATTATTTTCGTACGTGTTAATCTTTACTTTTTTCTCATTTAATCGTTTATTTTCGATTAATCGATTCTTTTCGATTAATCAATTATTTTCAATCGATTCTTTTCGGTCAATCGATTCTTTTAGATT